GGGTTAGTCCCCAGGGGTCACCCCCACCCCCTGCCATTTGAGAAAGTTCTAATATCTTGTAAATGGTTGAGATCCCCACCCCTAAACCATATATATTCCTATTTGTCATGTCTCGAACATTTGAATGACGTATACGGTCAGTCCCCAGGGGTCCCCCCCCACCCCCAATGTTCTAATATCTTGTAAATGGTTGAGATCCCCACCCCTAAACCATATATATTCCTGTTCGTCATGTAATGAACATTTGAATGACGTATAGGGCCAGTCCCCAGGGGTTCCTCCCCACCCCCAATGTTCTAGTATCTTGTAAATGGTCGAGATCCCCACCCCTAAACCATATATATTCTGGTTTGTCATGCCAAGATGATTTGAATGATATACAAGGTTAGTCCCCAGGCATCACTAATGCATATAACTTTACTGGACCAAACCAATTTTCACTGGAAGTTGCCCAATGTCAGGCGACCCTGGGAATTACGAATTATGGGAGCTTCGTTTGGGAGACTTCATAACAGCATCCTGTTACAATCATTTCTTGTTTATAATAAAGTTACGTGATTAGGTCCATTTTTCAGATACTATAAGCAGTAGGTCAACTATGTGGTGTATGGAATGATTGTAAGGGGTACATGTCAGTCTGACAAGTTTCATCTGACCTTGACCTCATTTTCATGGTTCATTGGTCAAGTTTTATGTGTTTGGATCTGTTTTTCAAGTACTATAAGCAATAGGTCAACTACATTTGGTGTATGGAATGATTGTAAAGTGAACATGTCTGTCTGGCAGGTATCATCTGACTCTGACCTCATTTACATGGTTCTGTGGTCAATGTTACGTGTTTGTGTTTTGGTCTGTTTTTCAATTACCATAAGCAATAGGTCAACTATACTTGGTGTATGGAATAATTGTAAAGTTTACATGTCTGTTTGATAGGATGTATCTGACCTTGACCTCATTGTCATGGATCTTTGAAAATTTTAAGTTTATGTGATACGTGTAGTCAAACCTTTATCTTTATCTTCAAGACTTTCAAGATAAAATCAATGGTCAGTAAAGCCGGTGAGACATTTCATTGTGTGAACTCTTGTTAAATTATGTACCCTTTGAATTTAACAGTAAAATTTACATTAAATTTTTCTGCACAGGTTTTTTTTTACATTACAGTAGATGTGATGCCTCATTAAAATTAATGTACTTGTGTGTATTTCAGTGGCACTGCAGTCAATACAACCATTGATCCAGTGGGTGGCTGATTTCACCTTACATCTATTGGCATCCATACCATTGTTTCAGTCATACAACAACTTCCCGGGAGCATCGTTACTCAGTGACAACCTGATACTCAACATCTTACGAGAACTGATTATTGTGATACGTATCTGGGGTATCATATGTCCTTCCTGTCAACCTGTATTCACAACAGCATCTTCCCTAGACTGTCTTCCACACTTGTTCAAATTGTTGACAAAGGCATGGTTATGTTGCAAAGAAAATGTCAAACTTGATCTGGACGAAGAACTTTTGGATGAATGTCTAGTATTGCCCAGTAAAATGCTAGTTCCAGGTATTAATCAAAGTTTCCGGTTATCAAATGAAGGATATAGTTTGTTCTTACAACAATTTCCACAAATGATGACGCTAGATGAAGAACCTGATTATCTCTATAACATTAAGAAAACCAATTCCATGTTTATTCCTGATGGATTAATAGAAAATCATCAACATCATGACATTGTTCGTCAAATTCACTTGGGTGTGAAACTGTCGTCATTAGTTCGGCAGTGCTGTAGATGTGGAGCATTCTCATTGTTGTCGAGTGTAGCCAAGTCACCAATCATGAAGGCATGGGAACAAAGATGGCAGAAAAGTTGTCTTTGTGGTGGTCACTGGAAAATTCATGCACCTAATACTTCACATTGACATTTTATATAACATTTTGTAAATTTTCAAAATATTAAAGATTAGATGTTGTCCAACTTTGTATGAACCAAAGCAGTATTTCTTTCAAAGCCTATAGATAGAGAATTGTTTTGAGACAAATGGTTTTTAGGACGGATAATGGGAACCCCTGTACATTTTTTTTTCTGTATACCTGGTAGCTTTAAAGAGGTTTCATTGTACCGTAATTTTAAGGCTCAATTCCAAGTGTGTTTTTGTGGGATTTACTCACTGAAAGTGTTCTATTTACTATCTGAGCATCACATCCTGTTTTAAAATTGGGAGAATAACAAGTCAACATAATGCAACGAGGCTAGTTATGCCATGTGACTATGCAAACAAATTCATAATGAACAAACTCTAATAATCTTTTTCTACTGGATATATACATCACAGGAACACATCAATTCTCAGTTTATGTAGGTGGAAATTTGAAAGGTCCAGAAAAAAATATCAAAAATAAAAAGATTTGCAGCAAAGATTTACAACTTTGAATTTCAGTCACTTGGCAAATTCAAAAAGAATGTTTGGTCACTTTGGTGCATAAACTTATAATTTGAATAGATGAAAGTTTTAACCAATTTGAGGTACATGCATCTGTATTTCTGCTGTAATAATTTTTGAATGAGCATTTTATGAATACTGTAAATTCAGAAATTATTCTGAAGTTTTTATCAATGAGAATAATGTGACTTGGTGTTAATCGCAATAATAAAAACTCGCATTCTGATATCTGATCCATATATCTGAATGCATATTTTCCTGAAATCGCAATAATTAATCTCGCATTTTTGTTCATTCTTCAAAAATTGCAATAATAAATGCACTCAATAATTTCTGAATTAACAGAGAGTTTTTCAGACGTCAATGCAAAAATATACATATTGAACTACATGAACATGAGAAATATAAATGCCAAATGGAAAATCAAAAGAAGCCAACATTATCAAAGGAAGAAAAGGAAGAGTCCTCCTGTTTTATCATAAATTTTGGTAATAAGATTGCCACACAAAATTTCTGGTTCAAGGTTTAAAAAGGAAACCAGATACTATTAATGTTTGTTTTAGTAAGTAGTCAGACCCCTGATGTAAATAAGTGTAATTTTGCTGGTCTAAATTAGTAGGTCTGATTATCTGACAAGGGGATACACTTGATGTGGACATTTGCTAACATCCACATCATGTGGACTCTGTTGGATAGTTGTCAATCATATGCATACCACATCTCATTATTTTTATATTGGAATTATGGAGGTTTTTCATGATGAGACCTTGTCAATCAGTTATTGCCTTTTGACTTTGAGCACTATCTTAAGAGGCCAGGAAAAGGTCTATTCTTCAGTAACTATACATGGAAGGTTAAAATATTTTTTGTATGTGATTTGGTTATCTCTATATAACAAATACCAGTAAGGAGATGTTGTATGATTGCCATTGAGACAACTATCCACAAGAGATCAAATTACTTCCATCAACAATGAGCCACATAGCATTGCTATTAAAGTCCAAGACATAACAAAATGTACAGCAATTCAAATTAAAACCAATAGTTTAATGTATGTACAAAACAACAAACCAAAAACAAATATGACATACAGCAACAAATAAAACAACCATCTAACATGTCTCATGACCATGGCTCCATTTTCAATTCCACAAGCCAGGTTACATTTAAAGATATATGTAGAGTATCATGTTGGCAGATGTGCAATTACAACTTAGTTGACCTCGGAGATACGGACATGACCATGTTAACTTAACCTTGATCACTGATCCATGAAATGAGGTCAGGTAAGGTGAAAGCTGTCTGACGGACATGTATATATTACAAGGAACCCATATATACCAATTATAGTTATCCTATTACTCATAATAGTGAGAAATTATGTGTCAAAAAAGAATTTTTCAAGTAGTCGCTGAGGTCAAGGAAAATGGACATGACAAATGGAAACATCGTAACATATTAAGGCATCTGCATACAAGGTATAAAGCATCCAGGTCTTCTACCTTCTGAAATATAAAGCTTTTAACAAATAGTTATATTTAATTCTGGATTGTAATCCCCATCTCACATTCTGCAAGTTTTATCGCAGGAATGACAAAAAATTGTGCCAAATCTGGCAAACATCATCAATACCTGGGGATAGAAAAACCTGTGTTTCCAGATATTTTTACAGAAATTTGATGAAAAGAACATCACTTTGACCAACATTTTATGCTTTAATTTTGGTGGAGTTATGTCTTATAACAAGATCAATACCTGTACCTGCATTGCTTCAAGTAATTGATTGAGGTAACATGAACACCGGAGCGTAACTGATCATTCCAAGCCCAAATGTTAAAATCATTCACTTCAATCGGTGCCAAGAGTTTGACTAAAATTTTCCTTGTACAATTAGTTGTAAAATTTCAAACTATCGGCAAACAGGAAATGGCTACAAGGCAAATGTAAAAATTGCTTACTCCCTACAGCTCAACTTTATCAAGCTGCACACCAAATATTAATTCATTCCATTACAAAGAAGCCAATTAAACTTTGAAGAAAGTTTTATTTGGGACGGATGTATGGAAAGACCGAGTCTAGCGGTTACAAGACCTGTTTCCACCATTGGCGATGCAGGTAAAAATTGTATATCTATAAAAGCTGACAATTACTTTTCAAAAATAGATGATACTGAATGACAATCCAAGTAAAAGTTAGACAAGACAGTGAACAATTTATGCACAGGGAAGAGGGGGGGGGGGGGGTCTCTTCCTATATAAAGGTACAAATATCTATGGAATACAATGTGAGGAGGTAATATATAACAATGGTAGAAATTGTCAATGGGTCATAAATTTTCAATTTTCATCTTCTGTTAAGATGTCTGTAAAAACTGTGTACTGATCTTTTAGTCTAATAATATAAATGACTATGTTCCAATGTGTTTGCCTTTTTCATACATCCTTTGAATTCCTACTTTGATGATACAGCGAGCCAGTTTAAACATTTAATTGCTATCATTCCTTATTCAGCAAATCTTTAAAAGAGTCATTTGTTTGATAAAAATGAAAAACAGTACATTGTTTTTAAATTTTATTCTTTTTTGCACCATTTTTGCATTTTAAAAATATATAAATGTATAAAACTTTTTTTTTTCATGCTTACTTGCATAGAACAATTACAATCACATTGTGCCATACAAAAAAAGTTGTTTAATACGTATAAATGCTTTAAAATTTATAAAGCTACATATATCTTTAACTGTGTAACATATTATAAACACTGTTCTAAGTATGCCTTTCTTAATTCATACAAATGGAAGGGGAAAAGCCTTATTGATTTTGGGGTCAATAAATGAATAGGTCAAACATTTCTCAGCAATGTTTTCCCAAACGTTCAGGCTAGCCATGGTCATGAGAAACTCTCTCAAAATTTAAAGGGGGGGGGGGCTCCAAAAGTTTTTCTGTATATATTAGAGATCAGTAAAAAGTATAACAAAGTTACAACCAATATGACCATTACTTTTTTCAATTTTCAACAGTATTATTGGGTATGTTGAGGACCTTCCATTAACAGGATTAGGGATAGGTTGGTTGTGCCAACTTTCTAATTGTTATAATTTGTATTACACACAAACATAAATAAAATTAACTTTAGTTTGAAGTGTGGACCAATTTTTCGAAAAAGTGATTTAAAATTCTTTTTGTGACATGCAATCTTTAATATAAAAATCGTTCCATTTTTATCATGTGACAACTTAGTTTGTATGGCACTACACATAATGTCAATAAATAATAGATATATTTACACATAACAATATCTGACAATGTTAAGGAAAATTTTAACATAATCAACAGATTGATAACAATACTGACTCAACAGTATGGAGGGATAATTAGTATAGTTATTGCACAAATTGTAATTATAATTTGGTCGTTAAAAAAATATGTACAATACTGGTAATTACACTTTTGCCATTTCTGATAAAATCAACAATGTAAGTTAAATAAAAATATTTTTCAATAAAAGCTTCTTCCATTCCAGAAATAAATAAATACAGGTTTTGAAATGTTATTTCTTTAAGATTCTAATTGTTTTGAATTTGAATACTCTAATCCATCATAAATCTCAATCCAATGAATTTCTGTCACCCATTATATGAAAATCAAAATTATGAATCAACTATACGATCTAGCTATGTAAAATTCTAACTTATTAAAATGACGATCCAGGTAAAACATTATTAACACACACAGATAATCTTGTAATGTGAAACCCAAGGTATTAAATTCATTTACTTTTAATACTGAAGTGTTCTATCTTTAATAGAACTTTTCTGTTTGAAACATTAAAAACTTCACAAGAAAGAAAATAAATGATAATTTATCATATAAATAAAGAAGATAAATGAATGCAGGATAAATTTTTCCTTAACTTTTCATTTTATGTTTACAGGTTTGAAATGTTTTTAATAATGGCAAGTAGACAGGCACAACCATATTTGTATATATATTTATTTATCATTTCTCTACCCAAAAATAATGAAGTGCTAGCTATATTGTTCGGGATATATTTGATCTACAGGATAAATATTTCACCATTCTATCACCCTGTGTCTGTCTTATATTAAGAATAAATACAAGTGTAAGTAAAAGGGTACTAAAGTTTGTTAAAAGTAGCACAATCATTTTTCAATGTTAATAAATTATATTAAAAAACATATTTATAACAAAAAAGTAAAAGAAACAAAATCTTTTGTGTATGGTTAGAAGTGTGCAGTAATTATTATTTAATTGAAACAATATTCTAAAACATAATTCAAAAATGTAAGAAAGAAACTAAAATTAGATTGATAATTAACCAGCTGGCTACTATTGTCTATTTTTAAAACAATCTTAAGCAGATCCAAGCTCAATTCTACATTTATTTAAAATATTCTTTGACAGTTTAACTGTCGAATCATAAAATTTCAAATAATTGAAACTAAATTTAATAATAAAACATTAAATATTTTTTGCATCTCTAAGTTTAAATTCTATCACACTTTAAGCTATCTGCCCTCTAACAACTATACTACACAACAACAATCATACAACACTTACACATTCACACAATAAATTTCCAAATACAGCTTTTTTTATCCTCCATATCAGGTACACATATGATTTGCATTGAATATCAACAAACATACATATATAAAAATGTAACAAGAATCATTGTCAAAATAAGAGGAAAGATTTAGTACAGAGAAACAATAACAAATAAAATCTCCAGAGTATTGAATATAACTGCTGCCTACATTGGAATAAGGGAGGTTTATATTGTTCATTCAGCTGTAATGGCACATCTTCTAGGTAATACACAATAACTCCAACTGTCATATTCTTTTTTTATAACTGGTGACTCATCAGAATCACTGGTTGACCTGAAAATAGAAAATTGATTTTCAAAAAATTATAAAATAAAAAATTTACAAGAATTTTCCTGTTTTGTTGTTAGTTTGGTGTTGCTGTCTCATGTCTAATATTGTCTTTCATTCAGATTAGACAAACAAATATATGTCTGTTTACGGTTAACCAACCGACCCTTATTTGAGCACTGACATTAAGTTATTTTATTTCTGTCATCATGGTTGTAAAGAGAAAAATTAACCGAACTTGTGTCAAAAGCGAAGTTAAAGAGTTGCCAATAAATTTAATCAATTGTCTGATACATCCAAATGTTTGCAATCGTGAATATGATAGCTGTTTTACGGAAATTTGTGACTAGTGTGATGAAATAAACACTTTGCCACCAATTTTTTCCAACCAATAACCAAGGGAAATAATCGGGAAAATACAGACCTCTCAACTCAAAATCATGTTGCAAAAAAGAAAATGGAAATACCGACCTAAAGATTTGGTCAGTTGAAACACCTACAACATGAATTCAAGGATATATAAATATCAGTTTTTTCTTTTGGAAATAAGTAGAACTTGTCCTACATGTACATATGTTCATAACTTTTTTTGTGTACATAAGTTAGCTACATATATGTATTTCGGTGCTTATGTTACTTCTTTATTATTCTGAATTTTATCAAGTTTGGGTGCATTCAATATCCCTTTTTTCTACTTAATGTTTTGTGCATTTACTTTTAAGATACTTAGTAAGATATTAAGGTGAATCTCAATAACAAGTCTGATGTGTGCCAACAAACACGTGATAAAATTACATAATCTACTCACACATAAATTGTAGTCACAGGGTTTTCATAAATAGTAGGTAGATCTGTATCACCATAGGCACTAGGTTTTGTCATCAAGTTTATCCTTGGTTGAGGTTTTGGCAGGGGGAGACAAGCTGGATGACTGCTTGGGTAATTACAATAATTATAAAGAATCTTAGTTACTGATTCATAGCACTCATAAAACTCAGAATCTCCTATCTGGAAGACAAAATAAAACACATTTTGTATTAAAGAATTCTTACAAATTGATAAGAGCTTAAATAATTACCATGTTATTTTATAACTAATACACAACAATCTCATAAAGTTCTATAAACATGCACTGGATTTAACAATGGGCTCACTTGAAGAAATCTACATTCCCATCGATGATTATGAGATAGCAATAAGCAGGTTTGCAAATTTGCTTTCTCATCACTCAGAAGTCAGTGCTTTGTTACTGGCATGATTTAACACAAACGTTTCTTAAATTGTCCATTTTTAAATTAAGAATTTTCAAGGAACTAAGGATCCAACTCCCTCCAGCAGAGTTGACCTAAGATGGATTTGGCTATTATTTTAGGTCACTTCTGGTCATATAGCTCTTCATCATGGAATCATGTGTTTCTGTATTAATACCTCCTTGGCTTCCATATATTTGGCTTTGAGAGTTCCAGATGAAGGTAGATCCAGAAAAGCTATTAGGACACACATTTGACACTTAAAATTTATAAGCGTTATTTTCATATTTTTTCCAAATCATGATGGATCAATTTTACAATTATATGAAAAAGTATTATTTGAAAAACTTGCAACAACAACTCCTTTAATACATTTAACTTCTATAAGACTTACATCACATATTCCATGAAGCTGTAGTAGACAGTGACTTAAGGCTTGGTTTAGCAGATCAGATTCCTTCAAATGTAACTGTACCAAGGAAATGGAAAGAGTTGGAATCTAAAATAATGAAATATACATTAATGCTCATAAAATTGAGAATGGAAATGGGGAATGTGTCAAAGAGACAACAACCCGACCATAGAACAGACAACAGCAGAAGGTCACCAACAGGTCTTCAATGCAGCGAGAAATTCCCGCACCCATGTATACAACTGTTTATTTTCCTACTCATGATCAGACTTAATTATTTCAGTCTGCAAACAAGATAAAAATGTCTCATTGTCTAATATTGGTAGACATTTGTATCATACATGTATACTTGTCAAGTTCAAAATTTCACGAAATGACAATCAGATTTAAAGTTCCTCATTCCAAAGGAAGAAAAAATCTTAAATTTCCACTTCATCAAAAGAAATAAAATCTATGTTTTTAATGCAATTCTTTTAAAATGGCTATTTTGATTGGATCACATGCAATGAAGGGAAGCTGACATTTTGAATTTTGGAATTCATTGTTATGAGATTTCTCCAATTATAGAACAAAACAATCATGTTGATACTTTGAATATCAGCTTTTTTGTCAAATTTTGTTTGTTCAGTCAGAAGGGAACATGAAGCCTAAAACCTAAAAGTGTAGCTATGCTGTAAGACTGTTCAAAGTGCCATAGACAAGAACAGCATTTTGCAGTATTTTTTTTAATTAATTCTAACTTTTTACACCAAAATAATGACTAAATTGGAATGTTTTATTTATTTGCTTTAAAATGGAGATAACTGCCGAATGACTCGATTGTATTTTATTCTGTGCATCTGTAAAATTTGGTCTTAATGTAAATTTGTTTACTTAACTCTGCTACATGTAGCTGGGAAAACTCAATTTAAGATGTTGTAAATCTACATTTTACATTGATCAAGCTTAAAATACAATACAATTTATATTCTCTAGAAGTGATGATATACAAATACCACATATATAGCAATTTCACATCGTGCATGCATACCAAAGTAAACAACCTTTACCCATTATAAGAACTACACTATAAGCATGTACTTACAGTATAAAGAATACAGTTACTGTAGTTAATGCAAACTTCAAACTTTTGAAGGAGGTCATCTAGTAAAGAGCTTGGAAGACTTGGATTGACTTTACTCATTATATCACAGATGTGTTTAAGGATACCAGAACAGGTAACAGGCCAGAGTTTCCAGTTCAGCTTTTCAAGTACCACCAGTTCCATTCTTTTCAAATCTGAGGCTTTCCACATCTGTCTGTGAATGTGTGATAACTCTGTAGCTGATGGGGTATCCTAAATTGTACAAGTATTCAACATAGTAGTATATAGAACTTCAGAAAGATAGTCTTTTAAAATTTTAAACACAGAATTACAATGTATTGCTTCAAATCCATTGAGCTAGATTGGAACCTGCTGTTTAGTGCTATTTCATGTATTTGTTGAGATTTGCTGAAGCAAGAATTTTCAATTTTCAGATTATCATTCATTTTCCGAAAGGACAAAAAAGAAAATGATGTGAAAAATTTAACATGTTGGGTAGAGTAACAAAAAGTAATAAGATTTGAATTTGTATTGATACAATTGAGAATTTGTTGATAAGATTTTATAAATGAGTTTACCTCAGGTTCTTCATTAATCTTTGTGGAAATATAATGACAAGCTGTAACTAAACATGACAGGTACTTGTTCTGAACCTGAAGTGGATAAAATATTATTGTTATACATAATCTTATACTGTATTAACTATTGTTTAAATGGGTACATGATATAATTGGAGGAATGAACATGCTAAGACTTTAACTGTGAATTTTTACATTTCTGTAAATTTATTGTAATCAGTAAAAGAATTTTTTTTATTTATTCTTCTGCTACTATTTATTGCATTCCATTTAAATGGCATCTTTTGTTGCCAGTTAAAATCATTTGATTGGTGTTTGCTTTAAGCTGCCTCAGCATCAAAAGGCTATATCGCAGCGAGCAATTACATTTGACATGATTAGTTATGCTCTTGTGACACCTAAGGTGTGAATAAAGGCTGAATTTGATATTTTATAAATTTGTTGATTTGTTTTTAGTATGTCATGTATGTCTAGCTTAGCCTACATGTTAAACTTAAACCAGCATTAATTTGTTTTGTGGCAATTTTCTATGCTTAACATTTGTACATTAACCTTAAATTCACAAATCTAAACAATATTACAAATTTTTTTTTACCTAGTACATTGTACAAAATGTTGTATATTACAAATGCTCCTACCTTTACTTTTGAAAGAACAAAATCTAAATACTGTACAGCTGTTGCAAATGTTTGGGAGCTAAAGTTGTAGAACTGATTCAAACATCTCAGTGATGACACTGCATTGTCTCTCTGGTCATTGTCTGCCACATTCTCCAACTTCCCAGCCTATATAAATATAAAGTAAAATGAAATTGATATTTGCAAATCTGGACCCCCAAACAGGATCAAGTAAAAATTAAACATTACAGCCAATTTCATTGAGTGTGTAGGAAAAGGTAAAATCTTTAGTTAGCTTGCTTGCTAGCTGAACTGTGAAGTCATTATTAGGTTAGGTAAACTACCCTCCTTTATGAGTAGACTAGGCCAACAGACAGATAGAATTGGTTATCTGTGGGACTAGTCTACTCATAAAGGAGGGTAGTTTACCTAACCTAATGATGACTTCACAGTTCAGCTAGCAAGCAAGCTATTATAAACCAAAGATAATACCTATTCCTACACACTCAATGAAATCGGCTGTAACGCACACAACAAAAATAAAATACCACATAACAACTGTGACATCTACCTTCAAAACAAAAAAAATATAGCTATAAAGAAATTTTTGACGGCTCCTGACTTAAATCAATTGAACAGATACAATCATTGATAGACTATCTATACAAAATGGAGAGTTGTCTCATTGGCACTCAAACCACATCTTCCTATATCTATAAACTTATTAATTACACCATTTCTGTTCAAAGGGAAATATAACTCAATCATATAATAAATATCCCTTTAAAGAATTTTAGTAAACAATATATTGCTTTACTTTCATGACTTTAGTCCTGGAAATATGGAAAGGACACAAAATAACTATACATGTCAAATGATGAATGTTTTTTCAAACTTGTGTTAAAATATATTTTTTTAATTCACATATATAATGCGAGCTGCGTCGGATAGAAATCGACCTTATGCAAGTGCACGAATGTATGTACATGTACAAGACTTTGATTGATTTTGGAAGATTCAAATATGAAATAAAAGACGAATTTTGGTCTATTTTGTGGCATTTCTTTCATCAACTCATTTTTACATGTAAAACATTTACAGACTTTGCATAAAGATTTTTTCAACCCGAAATAAGTTAACAGATGTATTGATATCCATTTGCATAAGGTCGATTTCTATCTGACGCTGCTCATATTACATGTATGCTTGAAATGGAACATATCATGAGAAATGCAGCAACTTTTCCAAAAGATGAATATTTGAGTGTGTTCAAATGATATTTCTTAAGATTACCAGTAATGTTATTCAAATTGGAAACTCACCAGATTTTTTCTGAATGGACACTTTGCCAGTTTCACCAAATCATTCATCAGATCTTTATACAAGACGGACTCCTAAATTAAAACGAAAAGATGTGTGTTGGCTAGCTCATTTCTCAAGTTCCTGAACAATTACTTATTTATATAGTATCATACAACCAAGTAGTCTAATAACATCTATCAATGTGATGCAGTGGGTATATATTTAATCTCAAATGAAATTTTTGGCATGGACATTTTGTTTGGTAATAAGTGAAGTCATGGAAGTGGAAACAACTGTTCGTGCTGTTTTCAGTAAAATTTGTTTGCATGATCTTTAACATGTTTAAGCAATAAACATTTAAAAGTGGCATATTCCAAGTGACAGATTTTTTTAATAAAGAAAGCCAGTATTTTCCATCTTTGACTATTTATTTTAGCATTTCATGTAATAGTACAAATTTTGAAGATGCATGATGTAGCTTAGCAAGAACAGTGATAATTCTGGTGGGTATGTCAAATTAGCCTACTGTAGGACTTCACATAAAAAGGGGGCTGGGTCATCTTCTGTATCAGGTCACCCTTAATTACATTAAATAGAATCATGTGGTACATTTGTTTTTGAGTATATGAATTCATGTGCTTATTTTATTCATGTTAATAAAATTCAAATTTAATAAAAAGAAATGAATTTTTAATCTCAAACTGGTTGGCTTCAATTCTGGATCAGTATTCATTTCTTATCATAGGATTGATTTCTATGATTGTTTCATTAACTAGCTCTTGTGGTTTAATTATTGTATGCATAATAAGATGAATTAATGAACTTAGTAGATTCGATATGTTGGCCAATGAGACTATCTACAGACGACCAAAGTCCCCAAAAAGTAGTTTTTAAATTTTTTTTATAATTATTAATTAAAAAGGTACATGTAAATAACATCAAAAGCTAATGTATTTATCCTGATTTAACCCTGAAAACATTAGTTTTGTGTTCTATCATCAAAAACAAAGTCTAAGGTATGAAATATTAGCAGACAGCGTTTTAATGTTTAAAAATAATTTCCTATTTATTGACATAAATTTGAATAAACATGATTAAAAATCAATTTCTAAATTATTTTATCACTAACAATCCACCAAGAGATTTCACAGGTAAGTAAGTACATTACCTATATATTGTAAAAAATATGTTTTAATTACTAATTAATTACACGTTTTGTGTCTGTCAATCATTGTTACTAACACTTCATTTCCTTTCATTTAACATGTTTAATTTGATCAGATGAATTACAATTGAATAAAAGAATCCCCCCCCCAATTCAAAATTCCATTTGTTAATTCCTTAATTAAAGTGTTTTATTGCTGAACACTATCAGTGTTAACACGGTTAATAATCACAAATCTGATAAAATACTACTGTCCTGACTAGTCTATAGAATAGAAAATGCAAATCAATTTTTTTTCTCAACTTTCTAGTTTATTCATTAAATAAATGATCAAAATCTGTATCTGTTCCTCATTTGAAGTCTATGCTTCAAAAAAATGTTTTTTTTTTCTTTTTCTTTAGTATTTTTATAAAATAAACAATGAATGCTTGATATGTTCCAAATTTGAAGTAAATCCTGTAAAAAATTAAATTTTTAAAAAGCAATTTTCTCTCAGTCAGGATATTAGTGTGGCACCCAAGAATATCAAGGATTTATATAGTAAAGCCTTGATACAATTCATATTAAAAATACAAATAAATATATAATTTTGATTGAAGAAAGGAGACGTGTTGAAATCAGAAAAGCAACCGTATAGGCGTAGAATTACTTAATGGTACAAGAAATATAAGCCTGTAAGGCAGGCAAAAATTCCACAAAACTAATCAGTGACATAAAAAAAGCAATTCTACCTTTCTGTCATCTCTTTGTTCGATCTCAGAGTCTTGTGGATTGCAGGTTGATGGCAATGCCGCAACAAGTTGACCACTAACCATCTTGACTCAATTTTAAACTGGCAAAATTAGCTCACAGCTAACAACAACCGACTCTTTCTTTACTGTGTTAGCATGATGATTTGAGCTTCTTCTTTTTAATTTTTTTCTGAGGTATTTTGTTGGTGGTTATGGGCAGACGATCTCAGCTGTCAATATCATCTGCAAATTCAAATCTTGGCGGACGCCCAGTGTTTGCAACACTCGCCGCGATTGGTTCACTAAATAACCTGGCTATTTCATTGGTCGAAACTTTTATCAATTCTTCTGATCTAAAAATAAAAGAAAAGTTTGTAAATAAACAATTGAAAAACCAAAATTTGAAGATAAAAGGTCTTTCTTCCCCCAAAAAATACTATTTAATATCTTAATACTTTGCTTTCGGAATGCATAAAACAAATCTTTACCTAGATGTGCAGTTTATCAAAAATTTCTTACCAAACGGGCACCTGCTATGTTTTGACAGTTCAGTCGATACGCAGCCTGTTCACAGTCAGTGTATTCAGTATGCGCTTGTAAATTAAAGCCTCAAAAATATCCAAAAAGTTTTATGTTAACTTGTGTAAATACCAAAGATATATTGACAAAAACCATTGCTATTCTTTTTTATTTGATGCCTATGCAGAATTATCGAAGCATTTTTCGAAAAGTTAAATAGTGGCATTGCGCATTAATTTGTTATGTAAATATTTTTGTGTATTCCCCGAACTTCTTTTACATCTCATTATCAAACAAGAATTTCTTCCTTTTATATTGCAAATTTCGCAAACTGAAAACCATGGAGGTATAAGAGAAAATTTAGAGGTCGACTTAATTTTCATGGGCCAAAGGAACATCTTTGTCCAGGCTCTGTTCCTAGATATTGCACAGGTAAGTTTCTGTTACACTGTATTCTGTAACCACCCAAATTTGTGTATTCAGAAACAAATTTTTGTCATGGCAGCCATTTTAGATGTTTAGAAATGTCAAAATTCAATGATCAAATGTTGTTTTCTAAATCCAACTGACTATTTTTATCAAATTGCTAGTCATATGTCAGTACTTGATAAATAAAAAATGTAATTTTTCCCCTGTAAATGGTTAGTTATTTCATCAGACTTAGTAACCCACCCGTAGCCAGAGGCAGAGGCAATTTTACTGAATGATCAGCTGTTTTTGCTTGACAATTAATTTCTGAAGTTAATTATTTAAACATGTTTTGACTTAATTAAAGTAATTACATATTTCTAATTCACACGAACAGTAACATCATATATTCATAAAGATAATTTCTTAGAATTTCATCATTTTTAAGGTGGAACATTCTGGAATTTTTCTTATAATATAAGCATATAAGCATCAGAGAAGCTACTTTTCATTTCACTGTGTTATCACACAATTTAACATAATAATAATTGAAAAATAAAGAATGTATATTGTGTGTCTCAATTTATTTTATGAAATAATAATGTCACCCAATTTATCAATTCTCAACTGGTGATTAGTATTCCACTAAATGGTGAACAGTTTCCCAAATTACACGAATGAGTAACTCTACATCCCTCAAATGAAGAATATTTTCAAAGATTAAAGTTTTAGTCAAATCTTTTAACTTGAATAGGCATATATTCTTTTGAAAATTAGAAACACAATCCTTATCTTCTTGTAAAAAAAGTTTGGTTCCCTTGAAAAATGTTGTATTGCAACTTCTTAGTAATTCAGTTGAAGACTATGTATACATGTATATTCAACTTTTGGAAATGTTGCAGCCTTTTTTATTGATATTTGTTTGTCTTTTAGTTATCTTGGTGCACAGTTGAGGGTCAGGATGAGGCTTCACAATGGAATAGATGCTGAGCATCTGATGCAGATGCTTAGGCAGAACTTACAGAAAGAACAAGACCAGTGGAAACCAAAGGCATACAAATCTGTTGATATTGACACATCGGTAAGAAATAGAGACATTCTATTACTCATGATTTTTAAATTAATACATCTGGGGCTTATCCTTATATTCTTAACAATTAATGATGGGGAGAACATTTGATCAATTCCTCTAGGCAATATTTTTAACAAACCCTGTCTAAGAAACAAAAGGAAAAGTGTTTCGCTATTTGAATTATTTTCTTAACTGGAATCATTTTCTTAAGTTTTCTCATTGGCACTCATACCACATCTTCTTATATCTATGTATCCAAATGATTGAACTATATACAATAATTTAATTGTAAATTGAAACCTCCCTTTCAGCATTCAAACAATATTCTTTGATTGAATTTATATTGGACTTCAATTGATCTTCTACTCTAATTTTAGACTAAGGTCACTTGAGTATATTATTAGTAAGATATTTCCCCCACTTATAGACTACAAATTATATAAATATGTACATTGTACACTCAAGGTTTTTGACATTTTAAGTATCTCAAGCACTAATCAGCTGAGAATGATTAAAGTCACAAGTGATAAATATAGATATGTATATTTCACCTGTAACAATTTGGTTACCTTTGAAAAAAAAAATCACTGGTGATGTTTAGACTTGCTTACATTTTCTAGGCAGTAAATTCTTATCATAGTTTCAATATTATAATATATATATATACATGATATATGTAAACAGTCTGAAATACTGCATTCTTCAGTTTGTTAAAAACATAAATGTAGGTCAACTGTCAATACAGAAAATTTAAAACACTGCAATGTCTACTGTATGGTTTATTTCTGGATACCAGTCATTTTACCTGTGGTGTAAATATAAAACAAATGTAATTCAGGTATTACCCTAAAATTACCATTTGTTAACTTTTGTTTGTGATCAATAAATAGGATGTAAATAATCATAGGTCTCCTACAATAGAAATGTATTTATGTTTACCATGTAACTAGAGTAAATAAGATTTTATCATAAATAGCTTCAGAAACGGGGGAAATATTTGATAGATTTTAGTGAATGGCATTATAAGTAATTATGCTTCAAATGGTCTTGAATAATCTTATCTTGTCTTAAAGGCTCCCGTAGCAGCCAGGTTTAACATGTTAATGATCGCTCAACCCTCCTGCTTACCTGGGTCAGTGGTGTTACAGCACAACATAAGAACAAACTATAGAAATCAGTTGGAAAAGCAGAGACTCATTTAATCAGCACCAAGTACCAAAACAAAAACAAAACACAAGTTAGCAATCAGACCACTCAGTAACTGAAATCTAGTTTATTGCATCTCAACTTAAAAATAAACCATGTTTTTTTTCGCAGACCTAAGGACACATCCAAAAGTGTTAGAGTTAAGACATCATATTCAATTTTAGAAAAGCATGACAACTAGAGAGCTACTCTAAAATGAGGTCTATTTACTTGTAGACCATTCTTATATCTACATAAAGTATTTGTATACTTATATCCACCACTTGTTAAATCAGCTAAGATTGTTTAAGTCACAGTGACTAAATATAGATATTTTACCTGTGAAAAATTGTTTAACATAAAAAAGATCAGAAATAACAACATTTCACTTGTGATGTTTAGACTTGCTTTAATTTTGTAGACTGTACAACACAGTAACATTCTAAACATAGTTTCAGTATTGTTATGCATTCTTCATTAACATAAACATATATAGGTCAACTGTCAACACAGAAAATTTAAATCACTGCAGTTGTCTACTGTGTGATTTATTTCTGAATTCCAGTAATTTTACCTGTGGTGTAAATATAAAACAAATGTAATCCAGGTATAACCCTGAACATTACCATTTGTTATCTAGTCTGATCAATAAGTAGGATGTAAACAATCATAAGTCTCCTATAATCATGATAATAGTGATGTATATATATATATATTTACCATAAAACCAAAGTGAATTATTGGCTTCATAATCAGTGAAATATTTTATAGTTTTAGTGATTGGTATTGTTATTAATAATTTGTATTTAGCGAGGGTCTCGAATAACACATTTCTTGTATCCATTGCAAACCAATTTACATGTATGCTCAATCCATGTGTATGTGAGACTGTGAAGAATAAAGTACCAAATGCACAGAACTGAAGTTTTTTCTATGCATTTTAATTTTGTTTCCATGCAACATCATCGACATCGTCTTGACAACAATGTAAAACTATCCAATTTATTTCACATTTAAAAGTTCTCTGGTAAAGAAATCTAGATAACCTTGATATTCTATAGTGTACCTTTTATGTTGAATAATAAACATTTGTGTACACTCTACAGTTAAGTGCACTTTACCTAGTATTCATAGCATTATTTCTCTTTGTAACACTTTATAAAGTCTAAGTAAGTACAGAGTACACTCTCTTGTATACAATATGGTTAAGTGATCTCTGAGGTCTGTACCATCATGACTATCATGTGACAAAAGATAAATATTAAATGTGCTGAAAGGAATGTCTGATAATTGGATAGGATTCTTCATTAACATAAAATGTAGGTCAACTGTCAACACAGAAAATTTAAATGTAACTAACATCTCCTTGGTAATGGTTCTTTATCATGTCTATATTTGTAAAATAACTGAGGAGATTTGCTTTAATTCCTGTCTGGCCTTTGCAGTGGTGATCAATCTGTCCTTCTGTAGGTCAAAACATAATTTCCATCCATTTTCTCGAATTATATCAATAGTCCTCCTCTTCATATTTTTATAGTAGTTCAACACTGTTCAGCTTCATTTAGTTCACTCTTACTCAAATAGCGAGTTCAGTTTGGTAATGGTATAAAAAAAATGCTGTTTTGCAAATGTTAAGTTGTTATGATCATCATTTCAAATTTAGTGATGATCGAGTGAACATCTGCATTCATGTCCATTTATAAGAATATTTTTATCATGTGTTTATCAAATATCAATGATAATTATATTTCACCTCTATAGTAACTGTATATAGCACGGTGCATTTAGTAACATTTGGGTCATGGACCAAGATGAGGCTTCTATCATTTAGTGCTAGCCACCTTTCATGTGTTTTTGGCAGTCATTTCCATATCAATTATTCAACTGTTCCTTTTATTTACAAGATTGGCTGTAACTCAGATGTTTAATGTTTAGATTACTATTTGATGATTAAGAATTGTGATGTAATTATCAGGGAAACAGCAACCAACAACAAGACAAGATAATTGTAGTTCAATACAAAATATCAAGTCATTTAAACAGAAACATGAAAGAATTATCAATGTCATTGTATCAGGGATATAAGGGATTAGTAAACTTACGATAGAGATAATAAAAAAATTAGCAGTTTCCTTTTTTCTATGAAATCACCAGGATGCATATTTACGTAAATACAAATGTTTGTTGTTTTTAACGGAAAGTTAACAGTAATCATGATTATGATTTGTATTGTTATTTGTACAGGAAGTGAATGGAAGTCAGAGAGATGAGGCTGTTCGCTGGATGTTGTTTCTAAACAGGAAGTTTGGATTTACCCCAGAAACCTTTGGTCTCAGTGTTTCCCTTCTCGACAGATTTCAGTGTCTTGTTAAAGTGAGTTTAATCACATGGTTTATCACATGGTTAAGGTGTAGTAATTATTAAAAAGATATCTCAACTCCCAATTTTTGTACCAAGGTCTGCTAAATATTGTCAAGTACAATATAATGGCTCTGTCCAGTACAGAGGACCAAATAACCATTCAGATGAAATGTAAAAGTGTAGACTGGTAACTAAGGCAACTACAGTGTGGTTCAGTAAAGTACAAATTAATCAGGACATGGTCTTATTTTATGTTTTGATAAAAGTTTGTAAACAAGTCACTTATTCCCACCTATATAAATTCTGTACACAAGTGTTTGCAATTAATGTGATAATGTTGTCAGACTGTCTTTGTTAAAAAGAAAACTAAAAGGTGCAGTAATTAAGTAAGAACATGTGTATTTTTACACAATCTCATCAAGTTTGCCATTAAACATGTTAAATATTTACTGGTATATATATGAAGATATGGAGTAAGCGCCATTGAGACAGCAATCCAATGTCAAAAGATCTAGTCTGAGAGATTTTAAATTATACAGCCATCAACAATAGAGTAGACAGGTGTCTATATGTCATGAGAATCTCTTTATTGTCCCAAATCAACAAAAGTGAATAGATTAAACAGACATTCATGAATCAGCCATCAATATAAAGGTAAGGAGATGTGATATGATTGCCAATGAGAGGACCAGAGTTCAAATGAAGTGGATGTAATCAATTATAGCTAACTGTATGGCCTTCAACAATGAGAGAAAAGCCATACTGTATAGTCCACTATAATAGGCCCTGACATGAAAATGTGAAACAATTCAAACAAGAAAACCAATAGCTTAATTCATAACAAAACCATTTACGAAAAACAAATATGACAGACATTAGCCAAAGCTTAAGACAACCAAGGAACTACAGGCTCCTGACTTTGGACAGGCACATAAAGAATGTGGCAGTGTTTAACATATGTGTGAGCACTGAACATCATTAAGGATAAGATAATTGATGTTAATCATCCAAAATACCATACATGTATTAAATTAGAATGAAAGCTATTTCAATAGTTGATACTTATCACAAGTTTGGAAGATGTTTTGTTCATGGGAAATTTTTACTGTATTGTGCAGCACTGCTATTTTCCAAATGCAAAATTAGTAAAAACAAAATCACCAGGTCTCATGAGAGATTATTTTTAACATAGATTTATCTGTTACAGGTTCGACCTAAGTATCTGCATTGTGTAGCCATTAGCTGTCTTTACATCGCAGCTAAGACCCTGGAGGAAGAAGAAGTATGTATTAAAGGGAATTCACTTTTCAGTGAAATATTCAACATTGTTCATAAATATATCTCTGCTTTTAAACATGTTAGGAAAATTTCAAAGATTTCAGATATTACCATTTACAAATTCACAGTTGCAATAATCATGATAATGTAAAATAATAATAGATAAAACTAAATTAATGTAATCATGCCCTTTTCTTTCAGTTCATAAATAGCAATCTAGTTTTTGTCAAAATCACTTGATAACAAACCAAAACAATGTTAAATTAGAGAGAGAAAATAGCTATGCAATACTTTATATTCCATTAATCAGTCCCCTACCAACGAAGTCAAAGGGGACTTTAGGTTTGCACTCCGTCTGTCCGTCTGTCCATCCGTCAGTCCAGCAAATAAGTTTTCCACACTTTTTTATGCCCCTGCCGTAGCGGAGTGGGCATTAAGTTTTACCCTTGTCCATCTGTACTTATGTCCGTACATCCCAAAATTGGTTTCGGTTCTCTAACTTGAGTTTGCCTCAAACAAATGTTATGAAACTTATACACAATGCTAATTACCACAAAACACAGATCAACTTTGAATTTTGGTGGCGTCACTTTAACCGTTCTAGAGTTATGCCCCTTTATAAATGGAAAAATTGCAAAATGTTTAGTTTTCGTTCTCTAACTTAAGTTTGCCTCAACCAAATGTTATGAAACTTATACACAATGGTTATTAGCACCAAATACAGATCAAGTTTGAATTTTGGTAGGGTCACTCTAACCGTTCTAGAGTTATGCCCCTTTATAAATGGAAAAATTACAAAATTTTTAGTTTCCGTTCTCTAATTTAAGTTCGCCTCAACCAAATGTTATGAAACTTATACACAATGCTTATTACCACAAAACACAGATCAAGTTTGAATTTTGGTGGCGTCACTTAAACCGTTCTAGAGTTATGTCCCTTTATAAATGGAAAAATTGCAAAATTTTTAGTTTCGGTTCTCTAACTTAAGTTTGCCTCAACCAAATGTTATGAAACATATACACAATGCTTATTATCACAAAATAAAGATCGACGTTTGAATTTTGGTGGGGTCACTTTAACCATTCTCGAGTTGTGCCCCTTTATAAATGGAAAAAAATGCAAAATTTTTAGTTTCTGTTCTCTAACTTAAGTTGCCTCAACCAAATGTTATGAAACTTAAACACAATGCTTTTTACCACAAAACACAGGTCAAGTTGAATTTTGGTAGCGTCACTTTAATCATTATCGAGTTATGCCCCTTTATAAATCGAAAAATTGCAAAATTTTAGTTTCTGTTCTGTAACTTAAGTTTGCCCCTACCAAACATTATGAAACCTATACACAATACTTATTACCTTAAAACTCAGATCAAGTACAAATTTGGGTAGCGTCACTTTTATCGTTCTTGAGTTATGTCCCTTTAAAATGCTGTATGCAAGCGGGGGCATCATCTGTGTCCATGGGGACACATTCTCCAATTATTTCTTTATGCTTGAAGATATTGATTTGATATTTGGTGTATTGTTTTATCATGACCAGTTACAGATCAAATTCGAATTTTAGTCCGGTCTGATGATTTTGTGCAGAGTTATGGTCCTTGGACTTAGAAAATTCACTCAATTAATCAGTTTTCTGCACTTTTTTTTGTCATGCTTAAGGATATTGATTTGATAATTGGTATATAGTTTTATCATGACAAGTTACAGATCAAATTCAAATTTTGTTCTGGTCTGATGATTTTGTGCAGAGTTATGGTCCTTGGACTTTCGCGTCATGCTTGAAGATATTGATTTGATAATCGGTGTATAGTTTAATCATGACAAGTTACCGATCAAGTTCAAATTTTGTTCCGGTCTGATGATTTTGTGCAAAGTTATTGTCCTTCACTTAAATAATCAGATTTCAAAACTTTTTTTCGTCATGCTTGAAGATATTGACTTGATATTTGTAATATAGTTTATGTTGTCTGCTCTATGGTCGGGTTGTTGTCTCTTTGACACATTCCCCATTTCCATTCTCAATTTTACACCATGACAAGTTATAGATCAAGTTAGCATTTTGTTCCAATACAATGAATTTTTAACCGGTAGGGGACTATGTATTACCATGCAATACTCTAAGAATGCTTGTTTATGTTCAGTTTCTGTTGCAAAAATGTATGCCCCAAAAATGTTTAATTTATATAAGAATTACCACCATGAATATAAATATAGAAATTGTAGGATCTGCAGACATGCTGTCAAAAGTTCTAGATTGTTATTGAAAAAATATCCACACATAAAAAAAAAATTTCTACACTTTTTCTTATTTATTGTTATTTTGGGAATGTGTAAATTCCATAATGAACAAATCCAATTTTCTTAGCTTTTAAGCTTACTTCTCAAATTAATATTTCTTTTCTGTAGCTAAATTTTTATATGATTTCATATTCATGATTTCAGGTAATTCCCAGCACGGTAGATCTTGTGAAGATAAGTCAGTGTAGCTGTTCAGTGGCAGAAATCCTGCGTATGGAGCTAGCCATTCTTAACAAATTATCATGGAACAGTAAATTTGTTACAGCAGTAGACTTTCTTCACATTGTAAGTGTGTAAAAAATTATGTTACATTCAGTTAGTGTGTAGTTAAAGTTGAAGCATAAATTTCTTTGCTATATTTTCTGAATTGGGATCCCATGACCATTATACCATATTTTAAAGCATTAGATGCAGAAAGTCAGATAACATCCAACAAAATAGTTAAAATTATCATGCTTAAATGTTAAACATCAAAATGAAGATGGTCAAATTCTAACAACTGTGATCTGATATTTAATAATTACTTCAAAGGCTTTTGTCACTATAGTACATGTATATGTCAAATAGAAATAGACATGTTATTTACCTCTATGAAATAATCTGCAGGTCAATATATTACATGTTGATCTGTAGTTTTACATATTTCATGTTAGTGTCCAGCATCTGACATTGCTTCATGAACATACAATTGTTAAATTGTGGTAATTTATTTCTTTTCTCTACATTTTTAGATCCACGGAATGTTGATGAATTACTTCCCTCAACTGCTTAAGGGACTCTGTGACATGACACCCTCACGTCATCTCGGTCTTCTGATGAGACGTTTGTTTTGTTGCTATAGTAACCATCGATTGATGACCTTCAGACCGGTGACCTTAGCTATGACTGTGATCTGTTTAGAACTGGAACAGATTACACACAATTGGCTCTCCATGGTTATAATGGTACAACAAATGGCTAAGGTATTTATATATATATCACATAGTCACATATGCTTTGAGAGGATAAAAATCATAAAGGGGCAGATAAACAAATATTACATAGCCAAAAGATAAAAGACAAAGAAAAACTTGAGACCACAAAAAAACAGAAAACCTGATTGAGCAACAACAAAAAATACTATAAAAGACTTTAACTCAGGAACTGTGAAATGGTAAGCAGTTATATCTGTATGCCAGTATATAGTTCTAGCTTTGCTGTTTTCACATTTCCAACTAAAGCACAATATTATTGTATACATGATATATGTAATACAAAAACAAAGGATAAGGGGTTTCTATCCATAACACAAAATCAGTACATGCAGAGCAAAAAACACACAAAAAGCAAAGGAACAGCACTTTTATTGCTGTTCTTCATCTCAAAGTCACAGTGAGGCCTTCAACAAGGAACCAAAAAACTCTCACCTCACTGCAAGTTTAAGACAGCCCCTAGCACCGGTGCATTTATATTTTAAACCATGCCTTGTCATGATTGTTGTAAACCTTTTTCATTGCTGAAGCAAGTTATTTAAACCAGAGAAAACATTCCCCTTTTATCTTACAGATTAACAATGAAGATTTTATCCAATGCCGAGAGGAATGTGGAAGGTTTCTAACCAGTAACAAACTGCTACCCACCGGTTACAAATTTTCTGCTCAAAAGCCATTGCCTAAAAAGTCCATCAAACGCAAGGCCAATATTTTGGATGATGAGGATGACATCTACGATGGAATCAAACGGCTGTACAATGAAGATAATAATGATGTCAGGATGTCATGTGCCAAAGAGTTGCACCAAGATAACGATAATTTCATACAAATGACTACTGTTAGTGCCAATTAATATGTAATCTCAGGGCTAGTGTTTGGATGTTACAGGTAGATAGAGTTGAGAATTCATATCATTATCCTGCTCCTTGCTGAAACCTTAAATTAGTCAAATTATCCTTTTGGTGTGACTTGGTTAGTAGAATTTATCTTCTCTGAATTTTTTCTTCTTCAAAAATGAATCACAGATGATGTTTCCTTAAGAAAAGTAAATATTTTATAGTAAATAGTTACAGTTTAACGCTTTTGAAATATGTGTTTATTAATATACTAGTAAGAAGAAAAAAAAACAGTATGTAAACTTTATGTTAAAGTAAATTTTACTCTGTTCTGTCTTCTGTTTCTCAACTTCTTCTAAATGCAAGTCCAGAATCTAAGAGATGCATATATCAATCAAAATCTAACAGAAATAATCTTTGAACTGTAGCCAATGTCTCTTTTAAAATAATTTGTTTGTTTTTATGTTACATTTTTCACCAGAATATGTTAAAGTGCCATATTTTATTTTGTTTATAGAAGTTTATTATTACTACGTACTTAACATATTCTTGGAGGTCTACCCACTCTTATGATTGTTAATGCCATTATTATGAAGCTTGCCTGAATTTCACACCATAGATATTATACATGCAAATCAATTGATTTGATCTTCTTTTAAATAACACATTTGTTTGGCAATATTTCTGAAAAATTATCTTTGTACAATAAATTTATATATTTTTGGCAACAATTCTAATCCATGAAATATCTTTACAGCACATATTATGATGACTATAAAAATTTTAATTTATTTTTCACAATCAAAAAAGTATACAAGTGCTAACATGCGATTTAGTTTTCTCATACAGAAGCTAAATTATATGAAAATTATAAATTGTTATTTTTTTTTTCTTGTTATTTTTGTTTGTAAATACATGTACAAAGTTTTCTTTTTAATTTTTGACGAGGCTGTGACAAGAACAAATGATTATATGTTATATTTTCCACTGATTAGTACAGTATTTTTCTTTTTCTTTTAAATTTTGTATGTTATTTTGTGTTGTAAGTTATTTATGCATCTTTTTGCTTTAATGTTTATTGGCATACTAATGTAATTTTATATTGTTTATTTGATGTCTACAAATATAAATACAAAAAAAATTGATTCAATAGCATTTTCAAAAAAAATAATTTCTTAGATTTAAGAATCCTGTTTTATTGATGATGAGGACTTTTGAACAAAGACACTTACATTTTCTAAATAAATCTAACATTATCAGTTGAAAATGATTGAATAATGAAAGGAAAATATGAAAAGTATTTGTTTTATTATTTTGAATTAGGCAAAAATTACATCAGTTGAGGATATTCAGTCTTAATTGACCCTCCACTACTTATTTTCTCACAGTTCTACAATAATTACTTTATTTTAAGTGAAATTGTTATTTGTAATAAGAAATGAATAATTTCAACATTAAAGATAAAAAGAAAACTAAATAACTTGCACCTTTCAAAGTTTATTTTTGTTGTTTATAACCTATGATTTTATTGCTAACCCTTATTTGTTCATGAGTGGTGTAGAATATATATTTCATATTTTCAGCAAAATAAAAAAAAAAACATGAAACATAAAAAAAAGTTGTTAAAAAAAATATATATATAAACATAAAATGTAAGAAAACAGTTGCTTTTAAATGTAGTTAAAATATTTTAATTTATTTAAACTGTTGTGACGATAGTTTCATTTATATCTATTGTTACAAGTATAAATATTAATGAATCAGATTTTATCAGGCTCCACATGGGACAAAACCAATAGACACAAACATGAGCTCTACCGAGCATATTAACAATATGTTCTTTCTGAATATAAAGAATTTTTATAGTTTTTTTTAGAATTAAAAAAAAAATCTCAGCTCTTCAGTCTTTTACTCTGACAATCTTTCTTGTGAATAAAGTGAAATATGAGGAGAAATGTTTGAATGATATTAATTCAAAATAATGTTATATTTCTAATAACATGTTCATTGTAATTGAAAATTTAAAAAATGGAAAAAGTTGCACTTATCTCAAGATATAAATGAAACTATTATGAGTTGGACCTAAATTTCCCAATTTTGATATGCATGATATTGTAACATGTGCCACCACCAAATATGATGGAAAAAAACAACATTATTTTACGTATCCTAATTGGAACTTTGTTTATACAGTGAATTTTTTCTTTCATAGAAAAATTTCACTGTAACTATATGATTATTTATTGTTATAAAAATTGATGTACCAGTTGTTTAGATTTTTGGTCTTCAACAAATTAAATGCTGTCAAAATATTCTCATATGTCATAAGATCTGATATGAAATTCTGATTCCTTGCCAAGATGACATCAAAAAGTATTTTACCATAGAATTTAACAATGATTCAAATAAGATAAACAGTTGTTTAATAGTATTCATTGCTTGATATCATGTAAAAAAAGGATCTCATCATTTCACCAACCCATTCTGTATATTTTTATTTGGTGCGTCTTTTAAGTACTTGTTAATAATTACTGTTTTAATTTATATTCCCAAAATAGCAATATCATAGCGAAAAAGGGAGGGAATCATTAAGTATTTCCTTTGTTCTTTTTATTATGTTAATGAATAAGAATTTGTGATTGATGTTAATGCTACTTTGGGGATCATTCCTGGGAGAGAGAGAAAGTATGAAAATAAATGAAATCAAGGCAGCAAAATCCCAAGAGTAAAGTGGTATGTGTATACTTTGGGGTATGTGTATACTTTGGGCCAGTAAAATTTGTAAATTTGGGAAAAAAGGTGTGGTAGTGTGTGTGCTGGTTCTCTGACAAGGTGTGAAAAACTAATATTTTTATATAATAGTTAAAAAATCAAAAAGAATTTGTCAAAAAGGTTTTTAAATGAAGAAAAAATGTTCAAGATTAGCAAGCAGAATTAGGTCGCTGTTGAAGATTTATATAGTTTTCACCATAGAAATTTCCATTTTAATTATTCAAAACAGGTTTTGGCTCATCTGAAAATTATTGATGACTTGCAAAAAATTTGTTAAAGTCTGACTTACTTATTAGACACAAAATTGATACACAAGGAATAAAGATATAAACACATAGTAATAATATAATGTTACTTTGTCAGAGGGTATACCAGTGAAAGAAGAACTTTTTGTGAAGTTTTGTAAATAATGCTTATTTGATTGGCAATACTCTAGGGAAGAGAGAGAGAGGGTTTTTATAACCAAATTTTAGTTTGTTTTTAAAGCAAGACTTTTTTTTGTTTTTATACACAAATAAAGACCAACTAGTGAGAAAGGTTTTATAAGAAATATAATTTGTTGTTGTTATGTAGTTGTACAAATGTTTTCTGTTTTTGTTTACTGTGCATATTGATATAAATGAACACATGAAGATCATCTGTGTTAGAATAGTACAATGAAAGCATAAATCCTTAATAAAGTAGGAATTTAAAGAATGTATGAAGAAACAAACATACATATCAGAACATCTAATACCACCTTATATTTTTGTGTCATTCCATTTACACAATAGTTATATTAAAAATAGGGCAAAATAATTGTAAGTTATCATGAATTATTATTATTTTCTGAACAATATCTGATAACATGTGCTGAATCAGGATTGAAGAGGAGTATCATTTCCCAATCTATTTTCCCCAAAATATTCATTAAAAATAATTTGACAGAAAACATGTTTTTAATAAATACACATTGGTATTTAAATACGCATATTAGTTCATTATTACACTTGGACAAATGGCAAATTTTGTGATTTGTTTGTTGATTCAAAGATGTAAAAGAAATCCCCCCCCCAAAAAATCTGATTTTGAGCATCTGTACTTTATATATAACTAAGATTGCTATATAGTATTATGTAGTTTTTATATGGACTATAGATTGATGAAGGCTGTGATTACATGTTATCAGAAAGCAATAAAGTCTGGTGGCACATTATATATTTTTTTTATATTTTATTTGCAAGGTATCAGGAATTTGATAAGCAGTTCTTTGTAATGAAGTGGTTGGGAACTAAAGGGGCTTCTATTACTTGTGACTATACCTGTTCATAGGGAGGAAATCTATTCAGTGTCACTCATGATGTCAGGTCTTTGATTATATCAGAAAAATTATTCAAACCTGGGTGATATGGCTTGCTTTATGGTAAAGACATGTGTTCATTGTTGAAGGCTGTACAATGACCTTTAAGTGTTATTTTGTTACAATGACCTCTAAGTGTTATTTTGTTACCTCCTATCACACCCTTGCTTACTGAAGAGGTGCTTAATAGTGATTGTTGTGTCTGTTTATTCCCTTTATTCACCCACACCTTGAAGTTCCTCCTAAATCAATAATTGGGATTAGGTGAATCTGTCACAGAAGCTTTCTTACTTAATTCCATGTTGACACTTCTTCCTTTTATCAATTTGAAGCTGCTCCTCTTTCCTTGTTTGAACAAGGGAATTATTGGAATAGATATAAAATCATGACATACAGATACATAATTAAATAAAGGAAATGCCCAGACAAAATAAAACAATCCTAAAACAACTGAATGAAATATCCAACTTTCAATGACATCTATTAACAGAGGTAAAGGTCAAATTACACCTACCAGATGCATACTTACAAGTGGACATACCAAATATTGCTTTATGAAATATATTTATATATATGTATATCTGAAATGAAATCAACATTAAAATAACACTAACATTAAAGTCTAGCACTTTGCTAACTCAAAGGACTTGTCTTCTATTTCATAAAGAAATAAACCATAAAACTGAACAAGAGTGCAAACGCTGAAATGTCTTGAAAGCTTTACTTATCATACTTCAATTTATGTTGAAAGTCTGTAATATGAAAATTTCACTACAAATATCACATAAACTTATTATAAATGATCCATGTTAATGAGGTCAAGGTCAGTTGAACCCTGCCAGACAGACATGTAAACCATGCTATCATTCCATATTCCAAATATAGTTGACCTATTGCTTTATAGTATCTGAGAAACAGACTTAACCATGAGAACATAAAGTTGACTAATGAACCATGAAAATGAGGTCAAAGTCAGATGAACCCTGCCAGATGGACACACCTTACAATCATTCCATACACCAAATATAGTTAACATATTGCTTATAGTATTTAAGAAACAGACTTAACCATGAAAACTTAACATTGATTAATAAACCATGATAATGAGGTCAAGTTCAGATAAATCCTGCCAGACAGACATGTACACCTTACAATCATTCCATTCACCAAATATAGTTGACTTTAATATTGCTTATAGTATCTGAGAAACTGACTTAACCTTGAAAACTTAATATAGACTAATAAACCATAAAAATAAGGTCAAGGTCAGATGAACCCAATGATCATTCCATACACCAAATATAGATGACCTATTATCTATAGTTTCTGAGAAACAAGACTTAAACATGGGAAATTAACCTTAATCACTGATCCATGACAATGAGATCAAGGTCAGGTGAACCCTGTCTGAAAGACATGTAGACCTTGCAAGGATCCCATATACAGAATAAAGTTATCCTATTACCGGTACTCATGATAAGTCAGGAATTGAGATGACTTTAACTTAAGACATTTTTTCAAGCATTTGCTGAAACCATAAAAATGAGGTCAAGAACAATGGACATATAATAGACCGAAACTTCATACCATAAGACATCTGCATATAAGGTATGAAGCATCCAGCTCTTCTATCTTCTGAAATATAAAGCCTTATACAAATAGTTTATGCCGTCGCCACCACCACCAGATTGTAATCCATATGTCTCACATTCTGCGACTTTCATTGTAGGCGAGACAAACGCAGGTGGAAATAACAACATAAACATTGTAACATTCAACTTAGCTTCTCCAAGTCATGGAAACCCAAGGTAACATCTGACAAGTCCTGTAAGGGATGAAAGCCCTATACTTTAATTTCATTTCAATTTTATTATTCTGTTCATTACCAAAGAACTTTTTTAAAATCATGCATAATTGTAATGACTGCACAATACATTATTGACTTGCAATGTATATCTATAGAGGAGACAGAACTACTGAAACAAAACCAGATAACTGGGAAGTCAAAACAAGTTCAAGGGCAGATGACATGTGTCAGGAATACAAGTACCCATACAAGGAATCCTCATACCATAATATGTTGACCTGTGATGAATACAAGTAACACACTTTATCCTGAAAACTTGACCACTGCAGCACAAAATTGTTAGCATGTCCAATAGACATATATTTCTTTTATAAATCAACATAGCAAGTAAATCTTATCTAGCATGCACTTTGTACTGTATTTGGCCTTTTTATCTCTTTTGATTCAAGTGTCACTGATGAGTCTTTTGAAGACGAAAAGCGCGTCTGGGGTACAAAATTTTAATCCTGGTATCTATGATGAGTTTATATGCACAGCCGAGGAAGAACAGACATCCTCCTAAACTGACAGCACATTAACTGACATCACTACCAGAAAAAGAATTCACAAGGTCATATTTTTTTCTGACTGTTAATAATATCTTAACACTAAATCCATTGGATGTTGGATGTTTACTGATTGATATTTTAGTCTTAGATAAATGATTTTTTTAAATACTGTGGATTCATTTTTATTCGTGGTATACCAATTTTCGTGGGTTTCGTGGGTCACAGCAAACCACGAATTTAAGAATTCAACGAAGAATAATCCCGAGAAATGTGTATGGGGTCGGATGTTTATTTCCGGTTATGTTATGCAGTTCTAGTATAGTGTTGACTAGCGATAAACATTGTAACATAACACGTGTTTTTATTGAAAGAAGATACAAGTATTTTGATTAAATCAATAACAAATATATCGAATATCAGTGATAATTTACTTTTTAAAATTGATTAAAACTGTTGATGGAAAATAACTGCAAGTTGTTAATTACCGTGTCATAGTTTGGTTTACTGGTGATTAAAAATCAATAGGATTAAATACGGGGATATTGCCCGTAGGTAATATTGTTTATGACAGGAACATTTATTTTCACACCATTTACTTATATGACTGTTTATTATATCGTGATTAGGGAAATGAGCTTTCAATCCTAGAGTTTTGAATGCCTTATAAAATTCCGACAAGAATTTATAAATTGTAAAACAAACAAATAATTAGTTGTCTCTGTCCATTATTGTAATAGAAGTTTTCAATGAACACTTTAACCTAGAATGACCAAGCGAGGATTTTGACAATTCAAAACTTTTTCAATGAATTCCTGCTTTTTTGTTTGTTTTATTATTGATCAAACCAAGGAGTTTATATGATCTCCTAAATCAAAAAGAAATCCACGGATTACGTATCTGAATTTTTTTTTTGTTTTTGTAATCAGCGATCCACGAATTTACGTATACCACGAAACGTCTTTTTTTCTCTATCCACGAAAATTGATACCCACGAAAATAAATGAATCCACAGTAGTTGTTATTGACTTTGAACTTGCTGTCAGTAACTGCAAGTACTCTCAGGTGTTAGTGGTGTTACACCATAGGGTAGTGAAATGCGTCTAGTGTGGCGGGTATCGGCCAGTAGATATACCGCTGCCGCTGGCTAGCCTACTTGAAGGTGAAAGGGAGAGTCGGGTGCGTAAACCTTGCCCTGCCAGTACAAAGCTTCTAAACTGCCAAGACTCTTGCAATGCCTTCTCGTGGCAATACACGGATACTGGGGTCCAGTATTCCAGGCTAAATTGCAAGGGATCTCGGAGCAGCAAGGGCCCTAGAGATGCAGTGTGCAGGCCCACCGGCGAGTGGATACGCCCTGGCTCTCATCAACCTTGCCCCAGCTATGGGATAATAGCCCCACTGCCTTGTGAGTGACTTTGGAAAGTCAAAGGCTATGGAAGTAAATCCAGAAAGAAAATCCGGGTAGATGGAACTCGTAAGCTCATGAAGTCGTCCCTTCACGTAGAAGGTTTTGCTTAGGGTTAACGACCCTAACAAGTAAAAAAAAACTCATGTTACAGAAACAGCAACGAAGAATATAACTACAGCTGTGGAAGAGAGTCTCCAGCGCACCAACAGTGGAGCAAGGATGAACGTAGGTAGTGAAAGCCGAAAGGAAACTACAAACAGGATAACGGAGACCCTTAACATGACAAAAACTAAAACCATTTTGGTTTTTGGAACGTCAGATATGTATGTATGCAGCAGGCAAATTGGCTCAAATAACCTCAGAAATGCAGCGGTACAAATTACATATCTTAGGCGTTAGTGAAAGTAGATGGACAGGATCTGGCAGGATGACAACAACTTCAGGAGCTACTGTAGTATACTCTGGGCGAGATGATAACCAACATCATGAAGGAGTGGCAATAATCATCAAAAAGGGTATAGAAAGAACACTGTTAGAATGGAAACCTATAAGCAGTCGAATTATTATGGCAAGATTCAAAGGAAAACAGATTAACATCACTTTATTTCAATGTTATGCTCCAACGAATGAAGCTGATGAAGAGAACAAAGATGCATTTTACGAACAATTACAACATGAAATTGATAAAACACCAAACCATGACATGAAGATCATCATGGGAGACATGAATGCAAAAGTGGGTTTGGACAACACTGGCTACGAAAGAGTTATGGGAACGCATGGTTGTGGTTATATAAATGAGAATGGGGAACGACTTGTCGATTTCTGCTCAATAAACAATTTAGTAGTAGGAGGTTCCATTTTCCCACACAGAGACATCCACAAACTGACATGGTATTCCCCAAACCTTAGGGATAAAAACCAGATTGATCATCTAATGATAAACAGCACATGGAGAAGATCATTATTAGATGTGAAAGTTAAGAGAGGAGCTGATGTAGGATCTGACCACCAACTGATAACAGCTTTCATCCAACTGAAGCTCAGGGCAACTGGAAAGAAAGTTTCATCAAGGAAGCGTTTTGATATTGAT